TGATGATGATGTTTCATGTCATTTTTCTAAGATTTTGGGGCCTTTTAAGTTTTTTATATGATCTGGCACTTAAGGGATGACAGAACTGATAATAGTGAACAAGAATTGGAAATATATGAATCGTACTAAAGAACCAACCTGGCATTCAATTACAATATGTCAATATTCTGTTTGATATACTCATTTTAGAAAGTTAAACAATGAGAAAACTGTCAGAAATATCAATTTTAAAATGTTTTCATTTCATTCAATTTCGCTTTTATGTAAATGAAAAAAGTTGTTACATGTTCTGGGTTAAACTTATAATCCTTTTCGCATACCTTCTCAGTAAGAAAGAAATTTCATAAACTTTTCGCATACCTTCTCAGTAAGAAAGGAATTTCATAATAAAAATAAATACTTTTGCCTGTTCGAAATATTTGCTGAATGTTACAGCCAAGTGGAAAACAATCCTGATTTGTATTTTGGAGGTTCCAGGTTTTAAATCTCAGCCCGGTGACCAACGATCACGGGCGAGGTCCTTCCAGGAATTGCGAGGATAGTAACTTAAATTAGACCAGGATCACTTCCATATCATTTCCAATTCATTATTCATTAATCATCCAATCACTCAATGCTACGTAGTCAGAGCCAATGACAGCATGTTTAAATAAATCATTTGCAGAATATCAGCAATCATCTGCCATGTTTCAAAATCAATCTTTTGTATGTTTCTAGACTTAAATGTTAAATAACTGTGTTTAAATGTTTGCTATTTTATTTATAATTGTTCTTAATCATTCAACTACTTAATATTTAACTGCGGTGATATTAAAATAAAATATCCCTTTAGAAAGGCCACAACAAACAGATTTGATTACAACAAATTCACAAGGACATGGAGGGATAAACGTCTTAAAATATGCATCCATATAGGCAAACAAATTCTATAACAAATGGCGGAAGAAAAACTGTGACACATATGCAGGTAATCCTTGAGGTGCATAGTTGATTACATGTACTGGGGCTACTCAAAACTGCTATGGGTGGTGGGCTGCACGAGCTTTCTCTTACAGGGACTTCACGACTGTTTACATTGTTTCACAATAAGATAACTGTTGTGGTGTTAAACACATCACTCAAACAGTGGATGTATAAACATAAATTAGGTCATGCGCTCGTGTGCCTGAACTGAATGCCACTGACCTACACTTTAAAACTGAATAACCACAAAATAAAATCATTAAGAAAGATGCATCCATATAGGCAAACAAATTCTATAACAAATGGCGGAAGAATGTCACTGACACATATGCAGGTAATCCTTGAGGTGCATAGTTGATTACATGTACTGGGGCTACTCAAAACTGCTATGGGTGGTGGGCTGCACGAGCTTTCTCTTACAGGGACTTCACGACTGTTTACATTGTTTCACAATAAGATAACTGTTGTGGTGTTAAACACATCACTCAAACAGTGGATGTATAAACATAAATTAGGTCATGCGCTCGTGTGCCTGAACTGAATGCCACTGACCTACACTTTAAAACTGAATAACCACAAAATAAAATCATTAAGAAAGATGTTTAAGAATGAGGTTCATAATTTTGTGACATTACTTGTGAAACTCTACAGTTTCTCAGAAATCATAATTTTTTGTCTGCAATCTAAGATTTACTTCTAAATAAATCAAAGATAGACAACTGTAAAAATAAAGAAATAATGTCAAAATAAATGAACTACACACAAGTTGAAAGGCTCATTTACTTAGGTTCAAGGTGGCAGCAATGCATTTTATTATTTATTTAGTGTTCTGTCTGACGACAGGTCCATATGAACAGGATCCTTCCATCCTCTCGTGTGCCTGAACTGAATGCCACTGACCTACACTTTAAAACTGAATAACCACAAAATAAAATCATTAAGAAAGATGTTTAAGAATGAGGTTCATAATTTTGTGACATTACTTGTGAAACTCTACAGTTTCTCAGAAATCATCATTTTTTGTCTGCAATCTAAGATTTATTTCTAAATAAATCAAAGATAGACAAATGTCAAAATAAATTGCCTAGACCACGGCCTTGCCCCACACAAATTATAAATTCGGGCACCGTCGGGAATCGAACCCGGGACCCCAGGATTACAAGGCCAGCGTTCTATCCGCTAGACCACCGTGGCGAACAGCAATGCATACTAAAATAGAAATTATAATATAAACTAAAACATGAAACAAGGCATATTCAAAACTCAGGCACCGTTTAGCTCAATTACGCAGATACTTACGTTTGTTATTATAATAACAAAAAATTCACATTGCAAGCATACATATTTATATCCATACGGATCACCTCTAATATACCTTGAATTATCCATGAAAGTCACATTCTATTAGAAATGCAGTTACCTAGTTAATAATGTTAAATGATTCATATGGGCTGCGTGCAACCCACACACCACATCGGGTCCCTAACACAAGACATTTATTTACTTACTGATAGTTCTATCGAACAAGTCTAGGAAACAGCCCACTACATCTCCTACTTGATATTGCCTGCCAAATGGATCACTAGCACCAAAGTGTATCTTGATGGCCTACATAATCATATTATGACGCCAAGAAACAAAAAAAACAAAAAAAACATAGACACTGCATGTGAAAAATTGTCACCACAGTTTAAGTGATGTCAAATTAAAGTTTCACTGTCATTCAATACTTTCATCATACATCGTAACATTGGAATATAATATTGATTTTTCAGCGCAGATTTATAAATCTGAATATGAATAACTGATCCTCCGTGCTTGAACACTTGAAAATTTTTGTATATAGTCATTTTGTTGCCCAGTGAATGAAACATTTTGGTACTTTATAGAAAACGTGAATTGAAAAGTATAATAGTGAAGATGATTGTCTACTAAGATATTGCACACTGTAGTGTGGAAGAAAATGACCATTTTGGAGGTATACTTATTGCCTCCATCACCAGGTAATGCAATGGATGGTGATGATAACAGTTTGCAGTCAGTACCTTTGAAACATCAGTCAAGTTCTGCACGTTATAACATCCCAGAAGACAGTCATCTTCATAAAATCCACTGCCATGCAAACTTAATCTGATCACATTTAACAGTTGTAATGAATGCATAACTCTTTATCCTCATGGTACTTAAGTACAGGCATACAACTTCAGCCTTTTTATCAATATAAGTGCACTGGTACTTAATACTTAAATCCTGCTTCAAGGCTTAAATTAGGTTTAATAAACACTAAACTCCCAAATATCCATGTGTTGATTACTTGTTCATGACTTCATACAAGAATTTCTTTTTGCATAAATATGGACACATGTAAATTAGGCTTTCGACATCTTTCTGCGTCACACTATTCAATTCAGGGTGGAGGTTGGTTTTAGGAGGGTCTACAGAAGATATGAACGAACAATCTTGCTTATGGTTACTTATAGTTGGTATCAGCGGCGGGAAGAGGAGGTTTGTTCCAATGGCCACAACTGATTGACTGTTTCTCATCAAATATCATTGACAGTTCCGTCAAAATGAGAGTTAACACTTGTGAATCCTACGTATAATGGCTGAAGTAAATTGTACTGACAGTAAAACAAAGCTTGAGTTACCTGACAAATTTTAGACTAGAAAATCAGCGATAAAATTAGCCATAGATTTTGGGATAGCGATACAAACCATACGTGACATAACGAACAATAAAATTAACTTAATGGAATTTGTAAGGAACTTTGATAGTGGTGTTTCTATCATATCAGTAGGTGAATGTTGCATTCCTTCAGTGGTTAAACCAGTAATGAGCAGAAGGAACATCAGATTTTGGCCACATCAGCGCATAGAACACCAAGTTTTTTTTTTATGAAGCTTCGGGATTGGACGAGTTCAATGCATCCACCAGTTGGCTGACCAGATACAAGCAACAATACTTTGTTCATAAAACTGCAGTACAGGGAGAGAGATATAGTGTCAATGATGCCACATCTCAGGTATGGTCTTCTGTGAATTGGTTTGATCACAGAGGAAACTTCTTTCAGGTCTAGAAGAAGATAATATTCAAGGCTTTCCTAATAATGACATTAGCAAGTCTGAAATTCTTGACATGGTGTGTGCTATAAGGAGTTTTGAAAATGTTTACAATACAACAAAGAACGGCTATGAAGTCAAGCATGTGAACTGACCTTCAAGCACATGTCAGAAATGGGCATCTGTTAACACTGCCATGAAACAAAAGGGAGAAGATGAGAAGGAAAATAAGAGTGAAGAGGGAGAAAGTAATGAATGTGACAGTCGTAACATGGTGCTACAGTGCGTGGACACTTTGCTAGACTACGTGGGTCAGAGAGCGTTCACATACGGTGATACTACAGCTGCCAGGAAAATCCAAACTGCTGGCTGTGAGGAGGAGTCTAACCGTTCACAGTAACAGGCAGCCATTACAAACCATTTCTCAAAATTAATATCACTTGTGTAATATATATATGAAAGTAAATAGTGAAGCTTAGTGAACGCAACAAACAAAATATTTTGCATTACCTGTCTTTCTCAATTATTTGTGTTTCTCCCTTTTATTAGCCTGGATAAGTGGGAGCTTATTGTACATACAACCAGACTTTATTAAGCATTCTATCCATGAAACAGATTATCTCCAATTTAAAGGCATCTTTTTAAGAAGCCTATCACAGACAATATTTAGAATGCTGAAGATAATTTTACCAATTAAATGTTAAGTAATTGATACCACCATATTTTTATATGAATAAAAGAATGAGTATCCTAAAAATTGATTTACATAGACATATGATAAGGACACTAATAATTCCAACTGTTTATCCAAAAGAATAGTCAAACTAATTAGAACAACAGTATTATGCCAGAATTTAGTGCGCAAAGTGCACCTTTGTGTTGCCGCTACGAGTATTTTATTTTTGCAAGACATCTGTCTGCTGGATAATTATGTGCAATGCATCATAAACTGAGCACATATAAGCTACATGGCAGAGTGATAGCAGAAAGTTGGACAATGCTTTTGACATTGTACACTTAACAGGTACAACTGTTATATTACTGATATTTTTTAGATCAGTGACTTTTATGCAATATTGTATGTGACACGTTATTTTTCTATTACACTGAATGCAGCTTCACTAAAATGAGTCCAGATTTATAGATCAGATGTCACTGATTACTGTGGTATCAGTAACAGATCTAGCAACACAATGATTATTGATAGTGTAGTTCTTCTGGGTTGTCACATTATGTCGGATCTTAGATAAATACCAATGTTTCAAAGCTGTGAGAATCCTTGGGTCTCAAAATAATTATTAATGTAACTTGAGAAAAATTGGACAACGAGGTACTTACATTATAGCCATCAAATGCCCAAGTGTATTCATCACTGCCAAGCTGACATCCAGGGCTGCAATCAGCATGTGCCCAACCAACGCGCATTGGGCCTGCAGTCATAATCTCAAATTCAAAGTACCTGCCGGATTAACGACCACACAAAAGTAATGGATTATGTGTAAAATACAACTACAGGAACACAGTGGAACTGAGAATGAATTTCCATATTGGGAAAGCTAAAATGTTGAACAGCACTGAAGAGTTGGTATTTAATTCTGATTCTGAAAAACAATGTACCTCAAATGTCTCTGATATAGAATGCAAGCAACCTCAGAACAAAGTGGCGATACTGTTGTGACACAAAGCATGACACAACACAAAAGGGGAAACAGGGGTAGAGTAATTCAGATTATGACGAGCCATTTGAGGCCACCACCCTACACAAAATTTGGCCATGAATAATTTATAATTTATAGTAGAACATCCCAAAAAAGCAAGAACTATTTGGAATAAAACTATAACAGCTGTGCAGCAGATATTAGATTTTGTAATAATTTATAAAATCGGGATAAACACATATGATAACAGAGCACAGTGTGCCCACTGATAGAACTAGCATATGCATAATTTGTATTGGATATTTTATTGCCAAATCATATAAAAATGTACTGAATACACCAATGTGAATGAAACATACTGTGAATTTTACAGGACAAAACTACATGTAAAAATTGTGTAGAAAGGGTAATAATATTTAGTACCAATTCTTATAAATCAAAAAAAATTTCTATAGGGAACAAGAAATGCCATTTAAAAAGTTACCACTTTTTTTTCATTCCATCAACAGCAGCAGTTTTTTGCGACTAAACAATATTATCAAAAAAGAAAACTTCTGTGTGTTGATAACCATTTTAGAATCATCTACTTTTACTGTCATCATGAATATATTGTATAAAATTGACATGAGTCAAAATTGTCTATACATGTTATTTTGATATCCTCAAAAATATAACATGTTATATTTTGATTCACTCATGCTTTTCAGTTGCTATACAGTAACTTACCATTTTCCTGTACTGACTGCATAATTCTTCTGTACTCTGTATGTTCTGAATGCCATATGCTTACTTTTTGCTGCTTCAGCAAGTAAGGCTGATACAGAATGATGCTGTTACATTTTCTGTTCTCCTAACTCGCAAATTAAACTTTTCTAAACCTCCTTCCTCTGCCTATATTTCTAATTCGAAACATCACACACTCCATGGTGCAGGATAATCTTTGAACATTTGACTGTTACAAAGCATAATTAGAACATTTTAATGTCAAGGCTTTAAGGCGTTAAATTCAGTGCCACTTAGCCGTTGTTCCAAAGCTATATGAAAAAAAATCTTGCATAATTAAGAACAGAGAATAAACCAAATATAAAGTCTGTTGAACAGTGCACATGTTGGAAATCAACACAGAATTAAAATTTTTGTTTCCAACACACCTCTGAACGACCAATTCCTTAAAACATACCTTCAAGTTGCTCTCCAGTTGGAGGATCAAGGTTGTATCCGTAGGCCAGCAATGTTCGAACAGTCTCACTTGCTGTGTCCCTGATAATACAAAATAGCGAAGTTATGTACACCCACAACATTCAGGAAATTTTCTGAGCTTCATAGCTTACCTTCTAACACGTTCACTGGTGGGAATATAAATATCAGTTCAATCTTTTGCCGCCATATCGAAACTTCTACCAACCAAATTAAGACACACTGTAACCTCATATTATGACAACATAGACAGAAATTTAGAAAGTATTATGCAAGGCAAATGTTTCCAAAGGACGAACAGAGAGAATGAAAAAAACCCAATAATAAATGTAAAAACCGTGGCCAAGAATGCCGATAGATTTGAAAGTTTCCAAACATCCTTTTGCTAAAAAATTATTGTTTCAATGCTTTCCTAAAACAATGTAATTTTAAGATAAAATCTGAAAATCTTTAGGTGGTTTAGGTTACAGCCATGTGACATGCACAATTTGAAATTTCTCAAATTAGATGGCATGTCTATGCACACCAACAAAAATGCATTTTTATAACTCAAGGAGCAAAGTAAAATATCACGGTACTGAGAGAAAATTATTATTTGTTGTCTTTCACAGATTATGGTAATTCACAGACATCAACTATAGTCGAATGCTGCGGCATTAAGGTTAAGTGGCTAAGATTACAATCAAAATTCAATGATTCACTGTAATGGTGGTTCCTTTCTGGCCTCTTCATATGAGATGTAAGGCTTAGTATTAGAATACAATGGGCTACAGCCATACTACATACACAGAAAACACAAATGCCACAGCTACAATTTAATACATACCGGTTTGCTTTCTTGATAGCATCATCCACTTTACTGTAAGGAACCAAATGTGGACTCCTCTTCATATCAGAATCCTGAAAGGTATTACATTTTTTTTAAAAAAAATTTATGGTCACATACGCAAAAAACTAGCTGCCATTTACACTGTATCAGTCATGTAATGTAGGCAGAATGATTATACTTTATGTATTGGTATAATTTTCACATTTATATATTTTAATGAACAAAGCAGATAAGACTTGAGGTTCTCACAGCGGTGAGTATGAAGATATCCGTCTTCTGGGTTGTTGCGCTGTGTAGTCTGGTCGATGTTAACCAACGTTTCAGAGGTCATACTGCCTCCATCATCAGGGCGATGAGTATGAAGATTTCTGTCTTCTGGGTTGTTGCGCTGTGTAGTCTGGT